GTTAGAAGCTCTTTAGAGACTAGGTACCCATGTCTTACTGATGTTTTTACCCAGTGAGGTCAATCATATAGTGGAGACTTTACACATTTGACATAGATTTAACTGTTTTATTAACAGAGTCAAACAGGCTGAGGCCATTGCTTCAGTTGAGTCACCATAACATGTAGATGCTGGCTATCAATGTAGACCACTGTAGCAATCAATACATTTCACATCCAGAGTCTGAAATTACACAAGGCTTTAGAAACTCCAAAACCTGCTTTTAGATTGCTCACAGTGTTCTAATGCTGGCAACGTGCTCAAAACCTCACGTACGACATTACATCATTTCTGGAAGCATCTGGGGCTTGTCAAATAAAGGCTGCCGGGAGGATGTGCTCTGTCATTGAATGGAAAGCACCATACATGAAATCATCATGAATACTGATGATGTGATTTTCTACTGAAAGCCCATGAGCCATTCAACATTCCATTGCCTCTATGCTGTGAGTTTTTGGCTCCCGCCTGTGCAACAGAATCAGTAGAGCTTTAGTTGGAGGCCATGATTATTGGATCCACAGTTGGCCTTCAGATCCTTCAGAAAGGAAGAGAAGCAACCACCTGTTCCATTTTTCCATCCCCTGGCTTAAGAGTCCCATGGAAAGCCTATGCCTATTAATTTGTTTTCTTTGACTGTGAATATATTTGAGAAAGGCTTAAAAAGAAATACTGTACTAAAAGAGTAAAATAAAGAGACTTTGCAGAACTTGCCAGAGATCTGAAGTTTACCCAGGGCCTCAGGGACCAGTATAGTCCAGCAGTGGAATTTTATTATATGTATACTGTCCCCAAACGATGCCTTCTTTGATTCTTTACAGCAAATGTGAAATTGACTTCAGATTTTAGGCCCACAAACATATTTTTAAAGGCATTTTAATCTTATTTGGGTGATGAATGCCTTTGCAGACTGGCTAATAGGCACACGTCAGCACACATTTCGGTGGTTCCTTCAATTTTGAATTTCCCTTTGCATGTTGTCTTTGATCCTTCCACTTTGTACTTAGAGTTGGATTACTTCTATAAAGCAAGCGGACAATTTCCCTTGATGTGGATCTAGGGGAAGTAGTCCAGAGGCATTTTCCCCCCTCTACTTTCCCATTCTCAAGCAATATGCTCCAGGAGTATAGGTTGCTCATAAACTAGGGGACAGATTATCTAAGTAGCCCCTTGATACCTTCTCAGCAGAAATGAACAACACACAAAGGCAGGGAAGCAAGAATGCTTTAAAGAGGAATTAAAAACAAGAAGCAAGGTAGCCTGTGAGTAGTTGAGTAAGGAACCGTGGCGTGTTGTGTTTATCTTTATCCCAGCACCTAACTCACACTGGGGTCCTGCTGCCATTGTTTGCTGAATTGAATAGATGAATGTTTGTTTTTGTTTGGTTTCCCAGAAGATGTTCTCTAATAAACACTATGCCAGAAACCCAGGTCCTTCTAACCCAAGTGAAGGCATTTTTGTTAGGGAGAAGAATAGCTTTTCTTTCTATACGCTATTTGGAAGAAAACTCTAGTTCCAAACTTTAGTTTTAGCTTTTAGTTTTCTTTCATTTTCTTTTGGATTAACTGTATTTTTTTTTCTTTTCCTAAATTACTGAGTTTAATCCTTAGCTCGTGGTTTTTAGTGATTATTCTTTACTTACCTATAGCATTAGGTGTATGTATTTCTCAATGAACTGGATCCCACAAATTTGTGATCTACTATTTCCATAATTGTTCAGTGTAAAGCATTTAAAAATTTCAACTATTTTTTAACTGATCCATGAATTATTTAGAAGTCAATTTTTAAGTCATATGTGTACTGGGAAGATTATGTTACTGATTTCTCGTTTATTTGTGTTGTGATTTGTATGATATAGACTTCTAGATATTCATTGAAATTTTGCTTTTGGCCTACTATAATCAGCTTTCATAAATATTCCATATATCTTTGAGAATAATGTGTATCTGCTTGTCTTTATTGGACCAAGCTTGTGATTAGTGTTTCAATCTTTTCTTTCAAGGCTGATTGTTTTGTTATTTGATTTATTAGTTTCTGAGGAAGCTGGGTAAAAATCAGCTTTTATGTTTGTGGGTTGAATGTAAATTGACATTATCATCTTAGGCACACACAAGTAAAAAGCTATTATAACTTCTTGGGAAATAGTTTCTTTTATTAATTGTAGTTTATTTTATCCCCAATAATGATTTTTCTGGCTTCCTTTTGGCTCTGTTTGCTTTGTATATAATTTAGCATCCATTTACTTTAAGTATTTAGGTATTTTTAGTTTTAAATGTGTTTCTTATAAAGAACATATGAATAGATTTTTTAAATCCAATCTGGTAAATAAAGTTACCAATTTGAAATCCAGTCTGGTATTTCAAAAGGTGGATTATTTGATGCTTTCTATTCAGCTCGATTTATGTTTGTATATTTCTTCATTTTTCCGTTCTAATGATAGGATCAGTTAAGTTTTAATATACCTTTTCTGTCTGCTGATTTTGAACTTTTATGTGTTATTTCTGTACTTTAATGATAGCACTGACATTTCCCACATGCATACGTGATAAGTCTGAAATTTATCAATTTTGCCACCTTTCTCTGAATACGTACAAAAAAGCCTCAAATGCCACTCCATTCAACATGCTACTCCTATTCAGCATTTTAGAAGCATCTTGCTTTTGTGAGCCCCAAGTTCGTTGTTAGTTAATTGTCTAATCAGTTCTTTAGACTTGCATCATATTTTCAAGTTCCTTTGTTCATTGTTGCTTCTTAGATCTCATTCTTTCCTTTTGAATTAAATCTCCCCTTTCTGAATTAGATCTCTAGGAAAATATCACAGTAGGGTAACTCTTGTTGTCCTTTTAAATGAAGGCATATTTATTTTGCCCTGATGGTTAAATATTAGTTTATTTGGATTAAAAAAACCCTCTATGTTGACAGTTATTCGAAAAATTATCCCATTCTTTTCTGTCTTCAGTGGTTGTAGCTCACTAGTTGGCTTCTGTCTTGTCATCTCCTGAAAGCCATCAGTCTTTTTCTCTCTGGTTGCTTTTAAGAGTAGTTCTGCCTTAAGAAGTTTATATTTGAATCTCATTTAACTTATTCTGCTCCAGGATTATTTTACTTCTTGAATCTGTGTTCATGAACTTGGATTCATGTTTTGGATCCATTTTGAATAATTCTTAATCCATTATCCTCTTTGAATATAGCTTCCCCATATCTCCCCCAGCTTCTTTCTTGTATCTCCTGGAAGTATATCTGATGGGTTCCATCATTCTGTCATCCATGTTGCTTAACTTCCCATTCATATTTCCCATGCCTGACTTTTTTAATATCTTACGTTATGAGTAATTTTCTCATGTTCATCATCCCATCATCCAGTTTACTATTCCTCACTTCCTAAGGTATTTATTCAGGTGTATAAATTCTCTACTGAGTTTTTAATTTGTCACAATAGTTGTCATTCTAGAAATGACATTTGGTTCTTTTCCAAGCCTGTTTTTACTTAAAATAGTTTTGGTTTATTCTTTTTTATTTTTATTCACTTTAAACATATTTTATAGTTTTTAGCTGAGATACTTGGAGTTTAATCTTTCCCTGCATTGGTATCTGCTTTATCATGGTGGACTATATTCTAAATTTCATATTCTGAGTTTGTCTTTGACAGAGCTTTATGAGAATACTGCTGGCAGGCATGAGTTGTAGACATGTGCCCATGGAAAAGGCTCTTGTTTGCTTTTACCGTGTGTCTGTGGACATTTCAACCCAGTTCCAATTTTTAAGTTAATTTCTTAGCGTGAGTGTTCTCAGAATATGTGTATTGTATAGAGGGCAGCTCTAAACTTATGCTGCTGTGTAGTAAAGGTCAATAGTTATGCATTTTGGGGGCAACTTTATCCTCTACCCCAAACCTAGTTGAGACCAATTTTCTTTTTTTGATGAGAATTGATGCACAGCTAAAATAATCTATTCTTCCTTTATCTTTGGCCCTTAGGAATCTCCATTGCTTTCTTGCAATATCAGACAGGGTGTTTGTTCTATTTTATTTAGAATTCAGTAGCAAAAGGTTTTGGGGAAATTAAGTGTGCCATGTTACCAGAACCAGAGGCCTGTGGAGAGTCAATTACATGTATTTAAAATAAATCATATATTCAACATTATCTCTGATATGAAATAATTTTATTTGTTTATTTATTGGGATAATTTTAGTATACTATTTCTATATAATGGATTTTAGAATATAAAACATTTGGGGATTAAAAATCTATTTAGTTACTTCATTCTTTTTAACTACTAGGAACTATTCTTTCTAAATTTGCATTGGAAATTTGAGATTTGTTATCAAGTACCAAAATTTGTATTGGAATTTTGAAGACAGTGAATATGGAATAACAGAAACAAAGGCTACTTGTATATTCTTCAGAGCTCGGTTAGGAACAAATAGCAGGAACTAAACTCCAAATGGCTTAGGTAAAAAAGGCGTATTTATTGACTCAGATACCCAAAAAATCCTGGGGTTTATTGTTCAAGTATAGCTGGATCAATATGCTCAGAAAATGTAATTAGAATCAATCTCCTTTAATCCCTTGGTTCTACTTTCTTCTCTGCTGGCTTCATTCTCACTTGGATTCTCCCCTTAGGGTGACAAGATGCTTTCCAAAAGTCCCAGTTCAAGAGAGCTTCTCTTTCCCAATCTAACAGACTTTCTGGAACTGTGGCTTTTGGTCTGTGTTCGACCTGCCCATTCCTGACCATTCCAAGTGGCTGAGGGGTAGTGGTCTCTGACTGGCCTGGTCCCTGGAGTTTTAGAGTTGGGGTCAGCTTTGGTCAAACCACATAGGCTGAAAATGGAAGAGAGAGGTTGTCTGAGAGAAAAATCGAGGTCCCGTGATGAGAAGAGATGGGAATGGAGGCTAGGTACGCAAAACATAACAAATGTCCCCATAACCTATCTAATTGTTTGTGTTTGCTGTTTATTTCAGGATAGTGTTGAGTTTAGAAACATCTGCAGTCATTTGGCTCTACAAATTCAAGGACAACAGTTTGACAGAGATTTGAATGCTGCCCACCAGTGTTTGAAGACGATAGTCAAGAAGCTGATTCAGTCACTTGCTAATCTTCCTTCAGATGCCCATATGGTAGCCTGTGCTTCTTTGAGACAGATCTTACAGAATCTCCCAGACATATGAATGTTCAAGACACCAGAATTAAAATCACAGCCAGTACTGCTAAGAGAACTGGGTACCTGACATGCCGAATTGAATCAGCAGACAGTGGATGCTTTTATTCCCAGTAAGGAGAGATGTGATGAAATATATAACAGTCTGACCAGTGGCATCTGTACCCTTCAGAATCATAGCATGTTGGTGAATGTTTTTTAAAGCAGTAGTTCCCATTTTTAAGTATGTTGTTATATTTGCTTACTTTTTGATAGAAATATATTCCACTTTGTGGAACTGCCTGGATTATATATGTATATATTTACTAATTCATATTAAGGATTACTTTTGATCAAATGATACATTATACTTATATTAATGTAGGCCTATGAGGTTTAATATGGTTATTTAATATGGTTATTTATATACAGTTATATGATTAAAGCTTCATGGTGCTTAAAATTATCTTGAATAAATAGGATATTTGATAATCGATATGTTCTACTTACTGAGCACTTCATTTTATGTTATGAAAATGATCTTTAGATGTTGTAGGACTACATGTGTCAGTAATTATGAGTTCCAATCCTGGCATTAATAACTTACTGTTGGACAGGAAAAGAGTTGCTTCTAAAGTTTGTGCTTTCATATACTGATTTGTAAATTTACAATGATAATGAGCTATGAAGTACCAAGGATATATGATATGTAAATACAAAGTACACTATTATTAAAGTCTCATGTGGAAACATGTAGCTCTTCTTACTGTTTCTAAATATGCCAATTGAAGTCAGAAATTCTTGTGAAAAAAAGGAGGGAGTGGATATACTGGCAGGTTTCCCTAAATACTTAGAGCTGGGAAAAGAGAAGCTAACTTTTATTTGCAACAGTGATCTGAACATGCTAGGAAAAAACAAATTTCTTGTTGTTTAATGATGACTTTATTGAGAACCAAAGTAAATTGAAATGATGCTTTTCCCTTAAAATGTTAATAGAAATGGCATCAGATTTAGAAAAAAAAAAAGCAGTACACTGTATACATGCACCTTGTTTTCTGAAGGAATTAAAAACTAGGTCTATATTGTGAGAGTTGATCTGCTATTAAAAAATAAAATGCTAGTAGTAATCCAAGCTTTTTATTCCCACATATTCTAATCCTAGTTGGTTCAAAAAATTTATTCCAGGATATAATGATGAAAGGTATATTGCTTCTCTTTAGATGAAACTGACCATTCCATAGAAGAGAATTGCATTTATGAGGCTGAATTCTAAATTCTAAATGCAAGATGAAGGGTGTGTGTGCATGTGTGTATGTGTGTGTGTGGGGGGGAGGGGGTGGATGTGTGTGTCTGTATAAGGGTGAGGTGGGCCAGAAAAGACGGGCATTTATTTCTTGGAAACAATCTTTGGCACTTGGTTCTCCAATTCCTAGGAAACATTGTAGTCTGGAACTATCACCATACTATAGTGAAGCCTTTCTTTCCTCAGTGAAATTATCCCAGGACTCTTCTCTAAAGACCTATCATTATTTATAGGATGCTTTGCCCATTATAATCAATAGCTATCTCAATAAATGTTAATGTTATTATTAAACTTTTTAAACTCTCATCCCCAAGAAATATTAAATATCTTTGCTTCTATCAGTTCTTGTATTTTTCCTCATTTTGCAATGTGTTTCGCTACACCAATAACAACCCTGTTCCATCCTTCAAGTCCTGATTTACCCATCAACTCCTCCTTAAACTCTTCTGGATCATTCTGGTAGGACATGGTCTCTTCTTCCTCTGAACTCACATAAAACACATGTGCTACTGCACCGGCATTACCACATGCCATATTATAGCAATGCTTTTGATATCTACAATCAAGATCAGCTTGCTGAGGGCAGGGATTATTTTAGACATATTTGTATATTTTATAGCAACTATAATTCTAAAAGTTCTTTGACCCTACTAGAACTTCCACTGGCTCTACCACCTTTTCACACTGCCCCCCCGCCCCCTTACTTTCTGTGGCTTATGTTCTTTGCTTAATCTGTATAATCATTTGGTTGTACTGCCACCAATTCCCTTCTTCTCTTTTCCTTTGGTTGAGTTGTGCTCACAAAAGTCCATTCAAGACTAACTCTCTGACCATTCCCCTACTCTATATGAGTTCTGAATGTGGCTTAAGAACAACACACAGCCATGCAAATCTCACTTCAGTTCATGGCTACTGATCTCAAGGGACCCTCGTGTTATCCATTAGTAATACCCAGTCCCTAGACCTATAGTATCCAATGTGTAGCCACTGGCTACTTGTGGCTATTGAACACTTAAATATGGCTAGTCTAAATTGAGATATACTAAAACCATAAAATGCACACTTTTTGGTTTTTAAAAACTTCTCAATTTTCTATATTGATACATGCTAAAATGATAATATTTTGAATATATTTGGTTAAATAAAATATATTATTAAAATTAATTTTATCAGTTTTATTTTACCCTTTTAAGGGAGCTTCTAGAAAGTTTGAAATTCCATACATGGCTTGCATTGTATTTCTATAGGATAGTGGTGTCCTAGAAAATTCATTAGACAATTCAATGCTATGCTTGACAATTTACTGTCTTAGGAAGGCTGTTCCACACCTTTTCACACTTGATCCTTTTCCATTCTCCTCATTCTCAGCTGATGGCCTTGCTTTTCATTGCAGAGGAAAAATACAAGCCCTTAGAAGGCATAGCTTCACGCTAACAGATCAACTATATACTCTGAGTTTCTTTTTTTTTTATTTTTTAAAATGTTTTATTTATTTCTGAGAGAGAGAGAGACAGCATGAGCAGGGGAGAGTCAGAGAGAGAGGAAGACACAGAATCTGAAACAGGCTCCAGGCTCTGAGCTGTCAGCACAGAGCGTGATGTGGGGCTCGAACCCACGAACTGTGAGATCATGACCTGAGCCGAAGTCGGACGCTCAACCGACTGAGCCACCCAGGTGCCCCCTGAGTTTCTTTTTTGATATGAGAAAGACATGGCCTTCTCCTGTCCAAAGCTGATGGACCATTCAGGCACTGGAACCTGTTTCTTCCCACTTATTTGAGGACTTCCCTCTTGCACTCATTCCTTTCCCTGAATTATCAATTTTTGCTTCTCAGTAAGAGCATTTCCATCAGCATGCTATGGAAATCCATAGTATCTCCTCCAATCTTTAAAGAACAATTCCCCCAGCTATTACCCTATTTCTCTCCACCCCTTAAGAGCAAAAATCATTGCAACTGTTCACATTAGTTGTCTACAATTCTTTTGCCCAATTCCCTTTTGAACTCATTCTAAATGGATTTTATGTTCATGCTCCACCAAAAATATTCTTATCATTTTTGATAAGACTCCCAATGACTGCCCATGGATAAATTCAATGGTAAATCCTCAACCCTCACCTTACTTGATCTATCAGTAGCTTTTGATGCTGTTGACTACTTCTTCCTTGAATCACTTTCTTATTTTGGTTTCCAGGTCAGCAGACTTTCATGGTTTTATACCACTAACTCACTTCACAGATCTGTTTCTTAATTCCTCCACATCACCTTGAATTCTTAATTTTAGAGTTCGCCCCAGTCCTTTTTCTACATTACACTTATCTACAGCGATTTTAAACACCATCTATCTGCCAATGATGCCAAGATATATATCTTTCACCCTGAACTCCAGATTCCTATAGCCAATTCACGAGTATCTCTATTTGAATGTTTAAAAGGAATTTCCAATTCCAAAACAGAATTCTTGATCCCAAATCACCCTTTGGCTGTGTTCCATTTTCTTTGGCCTCTTCAGAATTGGTTTTCTTCCCCCATATAAATGTTCTCTTACTCTTTTAACTAGCAGTTTCTCCCAAAAGTAGATTAGTTTTCTTGGTTTAGATGAAGGCCTTTGGAGAGTAGAAAATGGTAGGATACTTATTTCCTATAGAGCCCAGGACTGCAAGAAAAATGGGTCTTTCACACCTAAAATTCTCTCCAACAGTCAGTGCCATTTCCGTTGTTCTTCATTTTCCAGTGCCAGATACTTATGTAGTAAATCTATCTGACAGGAGTATAAATTCTTTGGATTCATGAGTTTTAAGACACATTTAATTCAGCAGAACTTCAAATAAGAAGTATTCCTTATAATCTGGGTATCCTCATCAGGGATTCCAGGCCAATTCCAGGTAAATCTTTACAGCCAACAGATTTACCACAGTCCTGGTTGCACTTAAATATGCAACAGAACCAAAGGTCTGGGGTAGCCCTGGCATGTGTTACCAGAGAGCCTACCTTTGTCTGATATGACTTGTTTACTACTGGGCTCAATAGAAGTGATATTTAAAGCTGAACCATAGTTTATAAATTTTCCCTCTGGTAGACAAGTTTATATCTGAGTTTACAGTCATAAGTCAGGAGACACTTTCAAGACTGGCAGAAATTTTTCCATCACAGAAGTAACATTGGTCATCCCCCTTGCCTTGATGAAGATTTTGATAATCATGGCTTCATTTCTTTTTCCTTAAACAAGACTATTCATAGTACTATCAACTGCATTATGCCTTTTTATATCTAAACATTATTTTATCTAGAAATAAATGGATATTGGTTCTGGTCCTTCCCATTTTTCATATATTCTCTTGCGTCTCTTATAGTCTCAGACTTTATTTGTTAGTCATCAATTCCCTGTGTAACTTAAACTGTAAGTATATATAGCAGGAATACTATTTACACTCACATTAGGTGAATAGTTCTTCCTAGAAGAATATGAATAAAACTTTTTTATCCATTTCCCTGCCTTGAGGCAATGTTGATTAAAAAAAAACAAAAACAAACAAAAAAAAAAACAAAAAACATGACAGAATGAGATAAACCTTGTAGAGCTTAAAAAAACCTTGGAACTTCCAAAGTGTTGAGACTGTAAAGGGGTCTCATGTTTTGTTAATGTGGAGACTTTTGAATGGCACCGAAGGATAGGGCTGATTGCCAGTAGAACCAACAATGTGTTTAGAGAGTTGAAACTTTCAGTCCCACCTCAACCTTCTGGGAGGAGACAGGGGCTGGAGGTTGAATCAATAGCCAGTGGCCAATGATATAACCAATCATGCCTGTGTAATGAAGCCTCCATAAAAATCTAAGAGGAAAGTGTTCTGAGAGCTTCCAGGTTGGCAAATGAGAAGTCTTCCATGTGCCACTGTGCCAGGTCCCAAATTCCATGAGGGCAGAGTTCCTTTGCTTGGGACCTTGCCCTATGTATCTCTTCATTGGGCTATTAATTCATATCCTTTTGTATATTCTGTAA